AGGACTTCTTTGGGTTAATTGTATAAAGTAATTAGTATGTACTGCAATGTACTTCACACAGAAGTGCTAATAGGCCCGTATTAAGGTTTTCCATGCATTTCTTTACTAGCGTTTTATCAATTACCTAGGCATTAGATTTTTAACAATATGAAGAGCAGCGTAAATCAGTGTTAGCCTGAAGCTTGTTGATGAATGTATGCTCTAAGGAGAATTGAAATTGGATGCAAAGTCTTCATCATTTCTTATCTAGGCATTTTGCTTTCTCTCTCCCTTGTGGTACTAGAAACCCACATACAAACATGCTGAGTTTAGTGTGATCCTTTTTTGGTCTTCTTCCTTAAATAGCAGATTTTTGGTTTCAAACTACTTGTCCTCACTCATGTACGTATAAAGCCTCATCTTATTTGTCTTGTATTCTGCAGCCAGAACTCACTTTTTCCGTCTTTGAAAGATGTTATTGCAAAGGAGCAGCCCTTTTCCATACCCGTTTTCCTTACTTCATCTGGGAAATACCTTTCAAATCGTTAATGCACTGCTCAGTAAACATACCCACCCCACATGAATTTAGAGTGGTTTTATTAAGTTTGAACCATTTTGCAAAAGGCAGCTTGTTATTACTATATATTGCAAATATCTGTCAAACACCCACTCTTTGAACTTGTGACTCATCAGTCTGGCATCTCAAATTCCCTTCTGCTAATTACAAAAAATACTGATTTTTCTCATTACCATCATAACAATAACACCTAGTTAGGAAGAGACTGCTATTTCTTCTGGCAAACTGCAATGTCTCATGTTTCATTGCATTCTGCCACTTAGCTTATTAAATCAGCTAGCACACACGCCTCTGCAAAATCCTGAATGTTCTCTTGTAGGCTTCTGAATTCAGCCTGGTTGACATGTCACCCTGTCCTGAGCAACATGTTCCCAAAATACACAAACCATAGATTCAACGGTGGATCAAAGGCCTCCCTTTGATGCTCTGTTATAGGAAGTAGGGACAGGAAAAATTTGATTTTCAGGGAGATATTGAAGAGGGAAAGAAATCCAAGGCTTTATCATGTTACATGAATTATCAGAAGGGAAGTACAATGGGTTGTTTACTAGTAGTATTTTATTCAACCATTATTTTTTCTTTTTTAAGATCTTTATAAAGTTCAAGTCTCAAAAGAAAGAAATCAAACTGGAAATCAGAAGGCCTGATTATTTGTTTGCAATACTTAGAGTAGTTTCATCAGTAAATATTTCCTATTTGAGAAAAATAAAAAAGTGAAAAGTGAAAAAAAGCCTTTGACCAATGAGAAGATTGTAAAGCAGAGTTGTCTAGAAAGGCTTTCACAGTTGTGTTTTTACATTGATATATGCCACCTCCTCAGAACATCTCCAGAAGCATGTTTAGTTTAATGATTAAATGTGCTCTCTGTCTTGCCATTTGGCTTGCCACGCTATTCCATGTCTGCTCTTACAGGCTTAAGCTTTCCACAAAGCCCTTGGAGCTGGTCCATAGCAAGACAGCTCATAGGCAACCACACTGCAGATAAACCTGCAACCCCAGAGCAGGTAAATTCTCCTGCAGCAGGCCAAGCAGCTGCTTTGCCTCTCAGTGCATCTGCCTTTGTTTGGCTGCCTTTCCGTGAGCTCTGTTACCCTGGAACCCTGGAAGATGGGCAGGACCTGGAGGAGGGAGGATCTTTGTTACCTTTTTCTTTTTTTTTCCTTCAGGATGAAAACGCTGTGCGTTTTTTTTTGTTTTTGTTTTTTGTTTTTTGGTTTGGTTTGGTTTGGTTTTCCTCCTGTAGAATATTCCATGACTGATCCACTCTTTATTTGAGTCACTAGTTGATGAATAATAGTCTGAGGAGTGACCCGTAATAACCAAAGCCAGACACCTTGGTTAGGTGGTGGCAAGGAAAATTAGGGCACCTCAGAACATCGCACTAGCAGCACTTGACACAGTTACTGCTACCAGAGACTAGTCAAAATAAATAATAATAATATAAAAAAAAAAAAAAAAAAACAACAATCCAACAGCAGAATGTCAAAGATCCTGTATGGACCATGCAAGGTATCCTTTTAATCACAAGTAAACATTGAACATCCTGACAGAAGAAAAAAAAATCACTTTTTTTGGACAGCCTCCAAATTTAAAGCATTGTGAATTGATTTCAGGTTTAGCATAACAGTCCTGGTGGACCAGTGTGCTCTCTGGGATAAGGAAACAGAACATCTCCAGAAGGAGGAGGCTTCAGTGGAGCCAAGTCAGTTCAGGATCATTTAATTCAAAATCTCCACATAATTTCCTTTTATTTAAGCCATTATTAAGAAATATCCTTCAGCTTATCACATGTGAAGCATAAGCTTCCTTTGGTATTAACTTTGACACATACAGAGCACTTGGGGGATTATATTAATTTAGGTGATAGTACCTGTTAGTGAGCATTTGATTTTCCTCAGTGCAGAAGGATTTACTCTTGTTATTGATTTGTTGGCAAATATATTGGGTGGAAATCCCCTGGTATTGCTGGTAGCTGCAGATTCCAAATTTTATTGGATTTGTGAGCAATTTTCCTCTGTGTTTAAACTTGTGATCGCTTTATAAAAAGAAGAGCCCAAGAGTAAGGTGAAAAATGAATGCTAGTTTTTACTTTGCTGAAAAGGAAAGCTGCCTTGTTTTGCTTTTTTCCTGGTTGTTGATTGCATTAGTCTGGCTTTTGTCATGGTTACTCATGCAAGAGGCAAGGAACCAAGAGTATTTTGCTACAGGAGGCAGCAAGAAAGAAGCCATTATCCCTAATGGGCAAGGGGTCATCAGGGCAAATTTTGTCCTGTGCAGAGGGTAGAAATCAGACCCATCCACTCTTTTAAGTGCCACAAATAAATGTATGGGCTGGTGTGACTTCCTTTATAGCACTGTTTTCCTCCTAAATAATTTTCCCTGTTCCTTTAGACAGCAGTTAATGAAAGCCAAGAAAAAGCCAGGTTGAACCCTTGCCATTCTGACCCCAGAGGCCGGGGCCACATGTGTCCAGGCAGTTCTGATGCACACCAAGGCAAGCGAGCCCTGGGACCAAGCAGGCATGTGCGGTTTGCCCCAGGGCTGCAGGCAGGACAGAGCCAGGGACAGGTCCAGGAACCTCTGGAAGTGTCTGCTGATGGCAGCAAGGGCACCGGAATCCCCATTCCCGTGCTGTGCTTTGGTTTGTGCTCCAACACTCGTTATGTTCTTTGTCCTTGTTGCCACATCCCCAGAAAAGGCAAATTGTTTTGTCTTTATCTGTTCTTTGCAATGCCTGGTCCCTCTGTGCCTACACACTGAAAATTCTGGTAGAATACCAGAGAAGTGTCAAATAATGAATGCAGAATTGGGCCTCAAGGACAGAGAAATGTCTCCTCTTCAGATTTTCTTAAGACTGAATCATACAACTTGATCAGAATTAACAACAACAACAAAAAAGGGAGTTTAATTAAAGCCATTTTGGAAATGTCTAAAGAAATAGTGTTTCATTATATTCTCTTATTGTATCCTACAATATTCATCCAATTAAGGCTAGCACTCAAGTTATTTTTAGTATATAGCATGAATAAGATAACCTAAGACATCATATGATTGCTCTAGCTGAGACATAATAGTTGAAAGTCAATTTTTCCAATAAAAATAACAGTGAACAGTGCTATTAATTCATGGTGATGATGCCACTGGGAGAAGCATATGATTTCTACTGCTGAATAATCAACAAAAGTAAATTAGCTTTAAGCAGCAGAATATGTGTGTATGTCTGTATGTGCATTTAAATGACCTTGAGAATAAAGAACTGAGAAAATTAAATACAGTTTTAAGCAACACAAGAATATATTTTTAAACTATGTATTTTGAAAAGTAGTCCATGTGAATTCAAGAGTCTGCAAAGCATAGTGAATTGTCTTTCTCTTATGTGTCTTAACTGAAATGCACAGATACATATATCTACCTGAAACCTTTCCAAATTTCAGCTTTATCACATGAAGAAATATGGTTCCTGGTACATTCCATTTTTACTTCTAACTCAAAATCAGAAGCAAGCATGGGTTGTAATAAATCTGTAGTTTCTTATCCTTTGTCTCTCAGTCCTCACTGTCTCTTTCAAGTTGGCTGCTAGTTAAAGAGAAAGCATTTATCTCCATTGTAGATACTTTTGATCAGCCTTTTAAAGCTCACTTAAAACATTCAACATCTTAACTTCGTAAAATCTTTTTTTGTTATGCATATCTATTAACTTTTTTTCTCTGCCTTCCCAATTCTTCCTGCCTCCCAGAACGGTACATATTTTTTCTAAAACTACCTTTTTTTTTCACTTTAAGTACATTTTCACTATTTAATCACGTTACCCAATTGCACTTTTACCTCTTCAAACTTAATTTGATAGCTCAAATACACTCTTCTCAGCTTTGAAATAAAATATTTTTTCCTTTTTTTGCAATCCATTTCTTGCATATTTTTTAACATATGTAGATATTCTATTAACCTCCATTCACTTATTGCATCTTTGCATTTCTTCAGATCACTTTCCTTACAGTTCTTCATAAAGCTTCCACATTGTAAAAAAAATGAAATCTTACAGATATAGTAGCATAAGAGGTACCAATGTACAAAACCTCATAGTATTTCAGAAAATCTTGAAAATTAAAGAATTGTTATGACAAGCTACTGTGTTATAAGATTTTGAAAGAGTTAATGTGCTCTTGTTTTGTTTTGGAGTCAATTTCCTCCTGTAAGAACCACCACGGGAAAAAAACACACAATCATAGTACTTCCCAGAAAATTTTGGTCAACTCTTCTGCACTGTCCTTCCACATATTCATCTGGGGTCCCATCTTCCTACAAGGAGTTGATTGTTCTGGGGAAGGACTCGGAGTGAATCAAACACTTCTTGTTAATGAAGACATTATTAAAAGCTTAATTCGGTTCATGGAAACATCCTAATAGTAATCAGTCTTACTTTTTTTTTTTTTTTTTTTTTCAGTCATGCTTCAAATAAAATTGGCACATTAACTTGGAAGAAGATAGAAAAGGACAGTGGAGGAATGAAGCTAAGCAGAATCTGAAAGGTAAGCACTTTCTCTGCATGAGACAACGTGTTCTGTGTGTGCACATGTAGGAGCACTCATTTTACACCTTCTAACAATAGCTTGGTGAAGAATCAACACTCAGTATACCAGTTGTAAGATTCAGGCTCTTCTTGGCAATAAATTATCTGAAATAATGGTGCAATGTTCACATTTATCCATTATATGGTATTATTCACTGAAAAACATATAAATAATTTTGATTGTGTATCATAAATTCATTGTAACTATGCTGGGTGTCACTGGATAAGTAGACAAATATCTCTTTCATTGTTTAGAATTTGCACCTTAGATTTTTGTTCTCTGGAAATATCTAAAACTAAAAAATTGCAGCTAATATAAAGTTTATATTTTCTTTTATGTTTCTTAATTGTAAGTCTTTTTTATGGCATTTCCAGAAGACAAAAACATCAACAAGCCACTAAAAAATAAAGAGCTTTTGGAAAAGTTTATAATGTTTTCACAGGTTGACACAGAACATAACGTCTGCAGGTACTGTCCCAGCTGAAATTTGGTTATCCTACATGTATTCCTACTGAAGACATGGCAAGTAAAGAGAGAACTGTTGACTTTCACTAAGTTTGAATTTGATACAATAAATATATTAAACAACATCTAAGAAGGTTGAGTTAAAACTGAGAATCCAAGAACGCCATCTGGGAAAGGCCACTCAGTAGCTGACTGGCAACTGAAATGGAGATGAAGTCACTTAGGTCCAAAAGTTTTTCTTTGTTTTATTTTTTCATTTTTTCAGTTCCTTTCCTTTTCCTTCTGAGCAGATAATTCATGAATAACATTTTGTTTGGTTCATGCAGCCTATTTCTGCTCAAGAAGTATTCATATAGAGATACCAATTTTTCTCAGTTTTATTCAATATTCAAATGTATTATCCAAACAACTTTTAAAATTGTTTTATCTTTGGTGTCATCTCCACTTCATGTTGCTTTGTTTAGCTGAGAGCTGCCAAAGAGCACTTTGTGTGTTTGTTTTTTTCTTTGTCTGTTTGTTTTTGTTGTTTTTTCCCCCCACCCACTAGCTCATTAGGTGATCATCCACAAATTTCAGTTTACAGCACTGAAATGGGCTATCTGTACAAGTACCAGAAAAGGGCATCAGCCAACTGTCAGTTAGAAACAAGGACAGAAAGACTGCAAACTTAAGGTAAAGAAAATTCATTCACAAACACTTGTGAATAATGATATTGTTAGCCACCTTGCCACCTTGTTCTAATCTTACCCAGTTATACCATACATTAGCATGGGGCTTAAGCTATTTGCAGACTATGCTTGACACTTAATGATGTGTGTGAAAACAAACCCACAACTTCCAGCTCTGTAAACAAATGAGGGATATCAAGAAATATTTTGTCTTGTCCTTATAAAAACAGAGGAGGTAAGACAAGATGGCAACATTACCAGAACAGCACTTTGCGCAGTGGGAGTCTGTAGGCAGTACAGTGCTGAACTGCAAAACAGATTTCTAGGACACTTTTCACTAAAGTGAGAAGAATGGATTTCTGGTAAGGGTATATTGTCTGCAAAGATCTAGGGAGTATTTTTGCTGAGTTCCTTATAATTTTTCAGTTAAGGAGTCTGATGGAAATACCAGCTAATGACCAATTGCAGTGACTAAGGAGAGGCATATGTATGTGTTATCTTTTCAGTCCCACCTCGGGGTTACATTAACACTGCTTTTAGCGAGCTGGAGGCAGAAGATTTTAAGTCTGCAAGGATGTGTCCTGGTGGGAAATTTTGGCCATTTAGATCTTGTGGTCTTTCTTCCAAATGTTTTTGAAATATGACTTTTTGCATATTGCCAGATTTTGCTATAGTTGCAATAATAGGAAATGTTCACTCTTTCTGTAGTATATACATTAGAGTTGTTCAGAGTATTACACAATTTATCACCAGACTGTCCTTCCCAGAGAGACTTGTGTACTGCCACATGTCAGACAGTTACTTTGGCCCACAGAGAAGCTCCAGACACATGAGCAAACCCACTGCCCTCCCCCCCCCCACCCCCCCCCCATAAGCACAGGGTATGGGAATGCTCTCAATTCAGAACTGAAAAGGAATTGTGACTTTGCTTGAATCACATCTTATTTTGAGGCTTTGTCAGTATCTAAAACATTTTTTATTTGACTTGTTAATTTGTCAGGTTAGAGGAAATGTTAACCTATGTGATAGGTGTTAGTGTACGTAGCTCTGTATGCTAGTCAGAAGGATGAATTCCAGCTGCTACAGCTGTGAAAGGCAGAACAGCAATTACTTAGTGTGATCAGTATCCTTCAGAGGACAATTGGCTTCATGCAGTGTGTGTGTGCATGCATGTGTACATGCATAAAGCAGTCACAGACTACCTGGGCTTTCTAAGCCCTATGTTTAAGCAGTGCTTCTAGTATTAAGGCCTGAAACCTTCAGTACTGGTTAGATTTTATTATTATCATTATGCCTTGAAAGTACCCCTATACTGTTAACCTGAGAAGCAGCAGAAATAGTAATGTACTTGGGGTCCGCTGTTTCTCTGCTTTGTTTTTGTTTTTGTTTGTTTGTTTGTTTTGGTTTGTTTTTGTGTGCATGTGTTTTTTTCTTAGTAGCACTTTGTGAAGTAAAATACTTGAACAAATTTCATATAGACTAAAAAGATAAAGCTTTAAGGATCTTTAAAGATTGGTTAAAAAAAAAAAAAAAAAGTCCTTTACAAGGTTTTATCCAAAATGTATTGATGTTGACCGTTGCATGGCAACAGTGAGGAACTGCAGTGTCTCTGCTGTGTCCCAGGAAGACCTGTGGCTGAAGCAGTGTTTCAGAGATTTTCAGTGGACTACCAGTATGATGCAAATACATGTCAAAGTGTGAGTCAGACATGAGAGTCCTGAAGACCAAAAGAGCCAAACAGAAAATTGTGTTTTCTCTAAATTCAGGCCACGTAGAAATTTTAAACAGTGATTTGCAACTTACTGGCTAAATCTAGATATGAAAACCCAGATTTAGAGGATCAGTTTTGGCACCTAAAGTGATATTTTGCAGTTTGATTTATCCTGCATCCTGATTGGTTTGTGAACAGGCTTAAAGCTTTTTCTCCTCTTATGATTTATAACATAAATTGTATATTGTTCACTGACAAAATAACAGTTGGCTTAATATTTTTGTAGTTTAACACAAATTGCACAAGCAAATCCATAAGAACAGCTAAGGTGCAAGAACAATTCTAAATGGTAAAGCAAGAGCTTGTTTTTCAACTTTTTTCCCCCTGTGAAACAGCAGTTTCACAGAATTTTTTATTTATTTATTTTATTTTTTAAGTAAAGCTGAAGAATCTTTAAAACAAATGTCCCTTATATAATGCCACGCTTACCTACTTTTTTTTTTTTTTTTAAATGCAATCTGACTCCAGTGATTTGTACTTTGGCCTTTGAAACAGGAGTATACTACAGAAGAAACTAGAAGAAGCAGGTATTAATAATGTATTTTTTTGTTATTCTACAGCACTACCAATCTCATTTTTAGTTGGGCAAGTACTTACATGCAGCTGAAAGTGCTTTTATGGAGAGAGATGCTACACAGTTTGTTTTGCATACTCATTTGGAGTTCTAAGAGAAACTTTTCAGGACCTGAGGTGAGAAAGTCCTGCTAAGCAAATAAAACTATAACAGTGATCTAACATATGCCTTCAGCCATCTGTGCTTTGCTGGCTTATAAAATTTTTATGAGAGTTTGTTTTGATGATGTAAGCAGCATTTTCTCATGCTTTCTATGCATGAGACTACAGACAAATGCAAGTATATTATATTGCCATTCCATAAATGAAATATTCTCAATAATCCGTTTTCTGTGGGAGACAATACTATACTGGCAATCTGTATCTTCTCCACTATTTATAAAGCTGTAGGCCCAAGCCTTAGGAAAAAAAAAATAAGACAGAATAGCTTTCTTATTCATATGGATTGTCTTTTTCCTCCCCTTTCTTCTGGTAAAGCAAATATTACCAAAAATCATTGTATAATCTGATGTAAGGATTCCTCTGTTCATATTTAACAAAAGCAGGAAGGGTTCAGAAAGTTCATCTGACACAGAACAGGAACAAAGTAGTAATATATGATTAATGTGAATTTCTAAACTAAAACTCTCCTGAAAAGAGAGAACATTTTTCTTTTAAAAAATGAAGTGGAAGAGGGCTTTAATATCAGATCTGTTTGATGCTTTAAATTTGCCAAATAGATTTTAATCTATTTCCCCTAGCATAAATCTGAAGTGATGAAATTTTTGTTTTATTAAACTGGGTGGTAAAGCCACCATAGCAGGTTTCTCCATTTCCACACAGTTTCTAGGAGCAATCATTAAGATTGAGCTTAAGTGTCCATGCTCTTGAGAACCTTTCTGTTAACTGTAATCTTCCACTTTTCTGACTTAGAAATTCAGCTGAAAGCTTATAAACACAAAAATAGCCCCTAGAGAGCTTTGTCTGAAGTGCTCTCTGGACTACGCATTTTGCAAATGTGCATTACACTTTTGAAGCTGTCTTCTCTTTGTAGGGCTGTTCAGTGTAAGTACTAGGTGTTCAAAGAGCTGGGAAATCTGCTCACTTTACCCATCTGTCTTTTACTCTTCTGGTCAGTTCTTCAATAACATGGTGAGAAACTAAATTTATAATGCCTTGTTTTCTTTTATAAAATTAGAATGTTTGCTTACTAAATAATTTACCTTGCAAAGGTGTTCAAATTACAAGATAACTGTCTATTGAATTTTTAATAAGAATGATAAAATTCAGACTATTTTTGTTTTCATCAAGCTTGCTGATGTTAGAGCTTTGCCTGAACCCCTTTTTGCTTATTTTTATATCTTTGCTGGTAGTTTTGAAAATGCATTTCTTACAAAGTTGGACTCCCAGTTTTCTGAAAAGGAGAGCAGGAGAATACAAGCATAATGCCAAATGAGAGGCAAAATTGTAATGGAGTCCCTGTAGGATCTTAATTTATCCCCAGAACGGATTTAGTTTGGGTAATACAGAAGGAACAGGAATGATGAGGAAGAAGAAGAAAAACTGAAAACTGTTCTCATCTATATGTTTTATTTTCGTAGGTTAAAGTTAGATGTGCTACCCAGTGAATGCAGAACAGTTCACCACATCTTGCTGATCCTCATCATTTATTCTTCCTTTTTCTTGTCCTAGTAGTTGATATCATTCTGATCTGGGGGATGATGCCAAGGGGAGGGAGGTAGAAATAAAAACACTACTGTTAAAATTGTTTTAAATACTCTGCAGCAGAAGCATATAGGCTGGAGAGAGATTCCAAATACTGCAATGCCAGCAAAGTTAAATAGAGAGTGACTACTGTGTTCAGTTTTGGGCCCCTCGCTACAAGAAGGACATGGAGGTGCTCGAGCGAGTCCAGAGAAGGGCGACAAAGCTGGTGATGGGCCTGGAGAACAAGTCCTACGAGGAGCGGCGGAGGGAGCTGGGCTTGTTCAGCCTGGAGAAGAGGAGGCTCAGGGGCGACCTTATTGCTCTCTACAGGTACCTCAAAGGAGGCTGTAGCGAGGTGGGGCTTGGTCTGTTCTCCCACATGCCTGGTGACAGAACGAGGGGGAATGGGCTTAAGTTGCGCCAGGGGAGTCTTAGGTTGGATCTTAGGAAGAACTTCTTTACCAAAGGGGTTGTTAGGCATTGGAACGAGCTGCCCAGGGAAGTGGTGGAGTCACCATCCCTGGAGGTCTTTAAAAGATGTTTAGATGTAGACCTTAGGGATATGGTTTAGTGGAGACTGTTAGCGTTAGGTCAGAGGTTGGACTCGATGATCTTGAGGTCTCTTCCAACCTAGAAATTCTGTGATTCTGTGATCGGTACTTCAGTTTTGACTGCTTTAGCCTTGTGAATAGGTCTGGTTTGGTTTCGTTGGTGGGGTTTTCTTTTTGTTAACGAGAGACTCTGACCCTTGGAGATCTGGAGAAAAAACGGGTCGAGGCAGGGTTTCATGGGGCAGCCTTTCTCTCTGGCAAGCCAAACGGCCTGGGGGGGAGCCAGCCCCAGAAAAGGGGGCCCTCAGCCCCCCCAACCCTCGTCCTTGCTCCACATGAGGGCATCTTCCAGGCCTCTCCCAAGGCAGCCACCTTCGGCCTCGCACGGGCCGCTCCATCACAGAGCTTTGCTGAGGTCACAGTGGCCACCAGCGGGCCCACCCTTGCCCCAGGCCCTATAAAAGGGGCCCCCCTGCCACTGGCCCGCCACTTGCTCAGCGATTTGGTCTTCCGAAAGCCAGCGGCTGAAGGAAGGCCAGAGACAGGAGCAAAGCGAGAGCGAGGCGAGCAGCAACCCTTCTCAGTGCGAGGACAAGAAATTGTTCCTAGGACCACTGAGGAGGATGTCTGCCTCTGTGAGAATGCGCCATGGGTCGAGGGCCAGCACCTCCATCACAAGAACCATCAGTGCCCAGGAGGTGTCTGGTGCCCGGCCCAGAGGCTATTACGATAAATATCATTGGAGCCGAAGCGATGTGGGGAGCAGACCGGCCCCTCGGATGGACACCAACAGCAGGCCTGGGCCTAGCCAGAGGTCCAGTGAGGACAGCAAAGAGAGAGAGCGTGGGTTGGAGGGCCACGGGAAGTGGAGCCGTGCCCACCAGATGGAATATGATGCGGGACCCAGCCGTGGCCAAGGGAGAGATGCCATCAGGAATTCCGTCAATGAAAATCAAGCGGAGAACGGAACGGACCCGAGGCACGGAACTGGGAGGCGTCCTGGTGCGGCACCGTGGCCGGAAAATATGCCCAATGGAAGGCAGCCTGTGTGGGCAGTCCCTGCCAGGGACTGGCTCGTCCTCCAACCCGCGGAGCCCATGGAGGTGGGTGCACAAGATGAAGAGCAACCGATGGAAGTGGACCCACCTCGGCCACAACAAACATGGGAGTCCCCCGGCAGCTCTCTGAAAAGTGTCCTCAAGGAACACCGGCAGCTGTGTAGAAGGGCTCGGCAAGCTCCCTATTCGTCATCGCCCAGGCTCCACTCCAGGCATTAGCCTGGAGCCACGTGGCAATAAAGACCTTTGCCAATTGTCAGGGGTTGTGTGAGTGCTTCTTTCCCATCCGGCAGCCCTTGTGCGAGAGGTGGCAGCCCTTCTGCGCAGAGCCTCGAGGAAGAGCCCAAGAGAGGCCCCAGTTCCCTTCGGGCTGCTGCGCTGGGGTGACAGGTGGAGTACCCAGGGGCCACCATGCGCCTTTAACATTTGTGAAAATAAACCGAGGGGTGAAAACAGTAGTGTGTGAGTGATGATAGCTGGCTAATTGCTTATCTTAGGAGTGAGTTTCTATATCTGAGTAATTGGTAATGACAGACGTGGAGAAGGCTGAGGTACTCAGCAACTTCTTTGCCTCTGTGTGCACAGGTAGAAGGGCTTCCCCCACCTTTCATTTCCCTGACCCCATAGATGGAGGCTGGGGGAGCAGAGTCCCACCCAGTGTAAGCGAAGAGCAGGTTCAAGACCAGCTGATGAATCCAAAGAGATACAGGTCTATGGGACCGGATGAGAAGAATCCCAGGGTCCTGAGGGAACTGGCTGATGGAGTTGCCAAGCCTCCCTCCATCACAGCAGAAAAGTCCTGGTAGTGGGGTGCTGTCACTGGGGAGTGGAAAAATGGAAACGTCATGCCCCTACTCTTCAAGAATTAAAGAATTGAACAAAGAGCACTGTTCTTCAACAGGTAAAGCAATTAGGAGACATTACTTCTCAGAAGAGCAGTCAGGCACTGGGACAGGTTGCCCAGGGAGGAGATGGTGTCACCACCCTGGGGGCGTTCAAGGCAAGGTTGGACGTGGTGCTTAGGGACATGGTTTAGTGGGTGACGTTGGTGCTAGGGTGATGGTTGGACCAGATGATCTTGAAGGTCTTTTCCAACCTTATTTATTCTATGATTCTATGACTAACAGAGCATTGATACAAGCATTGGAAGGGGATGGTTTTATTCTGAGGGGAATGGTAACCACACCAGCTATGTTGAAAGCAGTTAGAAGAGAATGTTTGACTACATTGTGCACAGGGCTGCCTTTCTTTTGATATAAAAACTTTTAAAAACTGCAGAATCTTTGAAAAGCAGAACATAGACTTGAGTAGCAGAGGAAAGAGTTTGACAACTTGCAGACTTCATGCAGTCTCATAAAAAGCTGAAAAAACTTCTAAAAGCGAGCTGTAGAGATGTAGATGAGTTCAGCCATATGTTGCTAAAATGATTAGGGTAAATAGATCTATAGAAACATGTTCAGAAGGCATGATTTAACAGATAATATTTCAGCTGTAAAACCACTTATTGTGAACAGCTTAGATTCTTGTTGCTAGTTGGTTGATTTCACAAGCCTTCAATGTGTTAGCTGTATTAGCTTTGGATAGTAAGGGCTTGTCTACAGAGGAAGTGACTGCAAGATAAGCATAAAGATATGATACTGTAGTAAGCTGGGCTCTTCTGCATTAATTACTTCGTAGGCTAACTATGGGCAAAAAGCAAAAACTAACCAATTCCACTTTCACTAGTTTTTCAGACAGTGTGTTGGGACCTCCAGAGGATGAAAGACATCCAGAAACAAAGACAATCTGATCCTTCTGGTCTCCATCCACTCTCTGCAGACTGTCTTCATCAAGGTTGTGTGTCTTCAGCCACCTCTCAGAAAACAAAACAAAATAAACAAAACATGCTTCTCATCTCTGTGACAGCACTGTTGCTTTTAAATGGCAAATAAAAACTGTAAGAGAAAGTTTTTGCTGTAGGAAGGAGTCTTTAACCTGAAAACATTGGGAAGGAATCATCTGTGTTATATTTAAAGGAGGCTAAAGAATGAAAAGGCAAGAAACCCTCATGCTTAGAGGCATAAAAGAGCCACTCTTTGAGCTAAGTAAGCAATAAATCACATCTAAAGAAGTCATCCCAGAATTTTCCCTTACGTCTTTTTCTTGCACTTTCCACAGAAGCTGTCCATTTTCAAAGGCAGAACGTTGAACAAAATGGGCCATGCTTCTCTGCTGGAACAGCAGATCCAGTGCTCACAGTCAAGGCAATTTACAGCACAGCTGTTCTCTTTTGGTCCTGTGGCATGTTCCCTATGTCATCCTCTGATAAGGTATGGCAAAGTGACAAGTCACCTAGATGCATTTAATGTGAAATGAAGTATGTTGCTTTTTGTTGCTTCTGTTTATTAAATTTTTATTTTAATGGCATGCCATCTTAAAATATATACTTGAATATACTTTTGAACTTGGGAGTATATTAGTCTACAGGTCACTTTGTTATTTATTCATGCTTTCTTCCCACACTGTCATGCTACCAAAATTGCAGCAAAGAGATTCTGATCTTTAGGAGAGCTGGATAATGTCACAGTGCAGAGTTACAAAATAATAATGCATAGTATCACACATTACTATATTGTTTTAGTGTGTTTACTCAGCATTTTTGAGGATTACTATACACAGTCTGGCCCATAGTCTTTGCAGAAGAAAATATTGCAAATTATCTGGTAAATTCTTTCCTATTCTGAGCTTCCAAATCTCCCCTGAGTCAGTGGACTTCTTTACATGCTGACCTGTACCAGTTATGGCTTATTAAGTTAAATCATGAGATGTTGTTTTTAAGTACCAAGGCCATACAGTTTTCCACGCACTTGATAGTTAGAGCTTGATGTTTTCAGCTGACTGCATACATAACCTTCGATGTATTTCATTGAATACAAATTGAAAACCTGAGTTGGAAAGTAGTTAAGATGCTCTTTGCCTAATCAGGTGTAAAGGTAGAAGTCCCCATATGACAAGAAAACTCGTGGTTATGTGAGAATGCCTAACCTAAATTATAGACATTTAGGATAAAAATCTATTTCTAATACTTCAGTGGGGAAATGTTACCTCTTTCTCAGGAAAACTCAAATTGAGACAGAGAAGTTACACTGAGGTCAATGTGAAGTTTTTGCTATCATAGAGAGTAGATGTTAATATCTGCTGATGGTAACCGCTCATAACTATCTAGCCTAAAAGTCATGCCTGAGCATCCATAATTCCTAAATGTTTATGTGAGCAGTGGGTAGAAACCGTGGATCCATCTACCACTTTATGTCAACACCTTGAAAAGATTTCCAGTTGCAAGAGACTGTGCAATTCAAGATATGTGATGGATGAGACCTATAGAAATAGATACTTGCTGTTGGTTATTTTTAAATTATGTATTATACAGTAGGTATCTCATTGTCTAATAAGTTTTTGATTTGAAATAGTTTGGTTTTAAACATTTTCTTAGGAATTACTATTTCCTAGAAATTCTGTAAGACTTTTCCATGAGAATGAACTGGGCTCAGCATCTCAGTTCCAGTAGAAATGGCCATATGTGGGGCTAAGAACTGCATTCTTACATTAATGTAAACAGTAGCTGCTCATAAGCACCCAAAGACAGTGTTGTTTTTTTTTCTCCGGGTATGTTCTACTTCACTGTTTCACTGTCTCTACCCCTTTGGAGTTGATGCGAGTTACATGCTGAAGTACATATGTATCAAGGATACCCCATAGTTAAATATAATAACATTTCTCTTTGTAGACAGAATCACTGTATTCATGTTACTGAAAAAAAATATTTTGAAAAAGGTTCTGAACTAGCAATTTGCATATTTGCATCTGTGAGTGTAAATAGATATACTGAATCTGTCATGGCAGTTGGTAAACTAACACAAACTTCTTACAGTTCCATGACAAACCTTTAGCATGCAAATCATTTCTGCAGCCTGCAACTGCCATCCCACCAGAAAAATCCTGTCTGGAACAGGGATGTAAACAGCGAAGTGCATGCCTGCTAAAAGGGATTTCCCTCATAATTTCAGAGGCGCCTGTGTGTGTAGGACTGGCTATTATACAGTGTGCAGACAAGACTTTCTTTTAATCAGTATGTATCTTCCGGGAATTGAGTTTCCTGATAATTTTTCCAACATTCCATTTCGTGCATTATCATGCATATGTGTATTTATGTGCATTTCTCAATGAGCTCATATATTTTTGGAAAATCTTTTTGCCTGGCTTTGGGACCATTTAGCTCTCACTCATTACTGGTAAAGCTCACCACCTACCTTTTGTGAGCTGCTGCTGCATAAGTAGTTTGTTTTGGTGTAATTCTTCTCTCTTCCTCTCTCTCTCTCTCTCTCTCTCTCTCTCTCTCTCTCTCTCTTTTTTTTTTTTAATCCCAACAGATAATATCATTAAGTAATTAATAACATAGCTAGGCAGTGCCCCAGAAATGAGAATACAAAGACTACCCTATATAGTATTCTTTGATCTGCTTGCTCTGACTGGCACCTTTTGTACGCCACACGTTTTATGTTGATGAAGGAATGCTGCAGCGGCTTCCTGCATCTTCTCTCTTTCTGCTGCCTGAAAGTGGCCAAAATTAACATGAGAGCTGATCAACAAAAATAGCTGCCAGACAATGTTTAATGTCCTCAAACTTCTCATTTTGTGAAACTGAGGACATGAAAGAGAAAATGAGTGTGCAATATGTTCACTGATTGCAGTTTGTTCATTCTTATCTTTTATACGTTTTGCGTTGAAATCCAGCAGCACGGTTCCATTGGAGTTTGAACCATGATCATAGAATCATAGAATCATGATATTGAACAAGAACCTGTTCTACAGTACTTGTTAAAAGAGAATCAAATCAAAGCCTGTGGACACCACTAACTTGTGATTATCTTCCTTGAAAACACCCATATTGCACTGTAGTTGTAAAAAAAGTGTTACACATTCTACCTGTTATGAATGGTCATAACACTATTGTTTTAGTTCAGTAAGCTTTATATTTAAAACAGTATTGCCATCTTGTGGTTCTGACAAGTTTCATCAATCTGTTTCTGCAGCCATTTTTTTCTTTATTGTGTTGCCAAGAATTCCTGAAATGCTATGGTACATAAAGTGGAACTGCAAAATGTGCATAGAACAATAAAATAAAACAAAACCTGTATCTGAACATCAAAAACTTTTTTATCAATCTTTCAACAATATGATTTTTATCATCTTCCCCTGAAAGAAAGGGATCACCCAGAGTCTAAATAGATCTGAACAGTCTTAAGAATACTTTTATTTCAGAGACTTAATAATAAAGGCTCAGAAAAATGTACTGAATTCAAGGCAGAAGAAATCCAAGATGTTTTTTGTCTGTTTTCTCTGTTTACACTCTGCTAGTGTAATGGGATCTTGCTTTGACTCACTTGTGGACAATGTTAATAACATACTAGCCTTAGAGGATGTCCTGTCAGAATGCAAGGTGTGCAGGCCATTTGGCAATGGATAGGACTACTCAGTACTTCAGATATTGAATGCAACAAGCCTCCTAGTCCAGAAGACTGAAAATACGATAACTTTGTCAACTTCAGTGATAAACCAAGCCTTTTCACTGCACAAGTCATTTGTCAGATAACTAGAGAGCTCTGCCTCATCAGGTGAGTTGTTGAGCACCTGATGTTAATGGGTCCCACTGAAAGAAAGAGGTCATGATTTCTGGCACAGCCTTAGAGATGGGCAGGTTTATATCTTTTATTTCTTTCTATGGAAAATGCCAAGTTGCATATTTTCTGCTCAGTTGTTTTGTTTTATTTTATTTTATTTTATTTTATTCAGAAAATAGCAAGTCTCATACCAGACAGATTCATATTCTTCTGGTGTCCCCAAGAGAGTGGCACCCATCCAGCCTAGCACCAGGGCTTTCCACATCTGAAGGACCTGTAAACAAGCAATGGTTTCCCTGGGGCTTTTCTTTTCTACTCATCCTGGAAGGGTTCTACTTGGTATAAAATCAGTTGCTGTCACTATTCTGAGTCTGAGGTCCTGTAGAAATATGTACATATTAAAATCTTATTAACATTGAACACTGTATTCAGTACATGACCTCATTAACTTCCTGTTTTTCTTTCGTGCTAAGCCCATGAACATGCCACATGGTCAGGGAGGAAATTTTATTGACAAAGAGAAAGAACTTTTCTTGACAGACTAAACTTCCTGATGAATTTTCTTCATATTAAAGCTTATCAAGGCTATATATATCTGAGAAATATTTTGCTTTTGATGAATACCTTCTCATGAAAAAAGCCATAACCTCAGAAACAAGACAATCCTTGATTTACAGTATCACATGTAAAGAGATAAGTATATTTGACATCTATACATTTTAAATACATAAATTTGTGCTCTAAAAATCTGTTCTGAATGTTTTTTATTGCTATTCAAAGACCCCGCACACTAAGAGTCTGTGTTGCGTGTTGCCCTATAGTGGTGAGTAAGGGGTAGGTTCCCAGGCTGTTCTACTCCATAGTCACTTTACTCTCACCAGGCTGATTTTTTTGTCAAGTTGTTCCAAGTTGAAGTATTCTGTTGTAACTCTCCTTACGATAAATACATAAAGTTAAGTTTCTGGAATTATCATCTACATTCTGAAAAGTCTAAAGATGAGTAGCTTTCTAATGGAAGTAAGCTAAACACAAACAGATTCTGTAATTACAATTGAGCTTTATGGCTGTTATATGCATATATACTTTTATATATATATATATATATGTACATACACACATGCTGCCATCAATTTTTTTGGTGTGACCACTGCTAGAGAGGACCTGTGCTAAGTAGTTCCTATGCTCAACTCCTAAGTTGAGCAACCTGTTTTGAAAATAGTATTTTTATGGGTAAGAAAATGTTTATCTGTAAAAATGATATAACTATAAAGCAAAGTTATGAAAATAAATTGAGATTTTAAAATTATTTTATCCTCTGATAGATCTGTAGCAAAAAATAAGGGACATCATTCTTTCATTGTAGTGATACCAGAAAATGAAGAGCTATCATGGTTCAGTTTTCAAAATACACTACATGTGACAGCACGTTTTTTACACCTAGAATCCAGATTTAGGAAATAAAAGAGGAAGATTATGTTTGTCTATGCATGAATGTAGTGAACATCTGCCAAAATCTATCTAGTTATTTTCATTCTCTTTTTCAAGAAAGCTGACCATCTGCTCTGTCATCAGCAAAGATCTTGTTCTAAAACCTAAATCAAAAGATCACCCATCTTGCACACCTTGTTTTCACTTAACATAAACAAAGTTTTAATGGTATCCATCTGTAAGTGCGATTAGTGACCTGAAGCAGGTACATACTCACTGAGTCAAAATTAGAAGCTGGAGACAGAATGATGATTAAAATGTGTATACTCTATTGGTAAATAAAAGGCATACAATTAGGCATACTGCTTAAAATAGTTCTTCTGTATAATTATAATATAGAATGTTTAGATGCTTATAAAAGCCAGAGACAAAGAAATTTAAATATACAAGCTCTCCTCCAGGTGATGCTAAAGCCTGCAATGAACCTGTTGTGTCTGTATTTTCCTCATATTTCTGGGTACGGATGTAATAACATGGAAAGATTCTATCGCTGCATAAATATAAAATGTAATAAAAGAACAGATTGAAAGTTTAGAGTTTGATATGAGAAACTGAGTTTCGTAATGTTTTGTTTTACTACAGAATAACATATATTCTGCCAAGTTAGAAGCTTTACATGACTTCAATGCTTAAAAAAAAAAAAAAAAAAAAAAAAAAAAAAAGAGGGAGAGAGAGAAGAGAAGAGAAGAGGATATTTTTATATCACTGGAGTTAGTTAATGGCCTTCTACATGGCTTGCTTTGCCATCGCTGGCCTTGCAGTTTTCTATTGTATTAGGTTTATCAAGAGGGCGGAATCTTCGCAGGACCACAAATTCTTCAATAAAGTACTAGTTTCTCATAGGAAGAAGAAAGTAAGAAGAAGAAAGAAGAAGCCAGTAATCACAGGGACTGACCCCCCCAGCTCAGACTGCTGGAGCAGCTGCACTAGCAGGAACCTCAAAGATGCGTGTTAGTGAAGCTCAGGCCAGCTGAACCAGGGCCTGCAGTCTGCTGCAAGGCCTTGCAACGTTTTGACTTCAAGACCTGAAGTTTCCTCTACTTAAGGCTGCAGAAAACAATATATTAACAAAAGGCAGCCTTTATACTAGGTGCATATTTGCAATTCACTAGAAATATGTCATTTAGTATTGGAGTGAACTTGTATCTTTTCTCTAGGTATAGTACTATCAGCAAAAATTACACGGCTTCATCAATCTTTCTCAGTACTAATTAGTAGTTATTTTCCAGTACAGTACAATTTAGATTAAACTATAATTAGTACTTATATTATCCTAATGATCGTGATCCAGCTTCTTTAATTAGGGACATCAGCACATCTATGTAAGATTGCTCTTAGGTAGGCAGTCTTCACTTTTTTTTTTTTTTTTTTTTTTTCTTAAAGGCTCATTAACCTCACTGACACATCACGTTTTATTCCAAGAAAGACATAGCAATCTGGCCTTATCTCTGAAATACGTGTGATCTTTCAGAAAGATTAATTGCACAATCATAGGATTGCATTCAAGGAGTGGGGATGATTTGAAATAAAAAAAAATTAACTGCATGCAAACTTAGTCTGTATATTAGTAGAGGCAAGTGACTAAAATACGATGTTCCCTCACAATGAAATCAAATTTTGTTTCTCTCCTGTGACTTTACTGTACATCTGCTGCAGCACTCCTCACCACAGCACATTCACCAGGCCCACATACAGAATTAGCTTTGCCTGACACAGGGAGAGTGGCATCATGGAGGGGCTGCTTGGGCCCATCCCTCAGCAGCCACACAAGGCAGGCAGGGCAGGGTGGGCCAGGGCCTGCTATGGCTGGGCAGGACCTTGGTGAGGCATCCAGGCTGCAGCCAAGCAAGGAGTTGAGCCATCCTATTGGGTGAGGCTCATTGAGGTTCAGGGGCATGGCATGGCTGGGACACAGCTGAGGCAGGGCATGACCTCCAGGGAATATCCACCCTGTCTGCCATAGTGTTCTTTCCAGGTTGCCAGAAGGCCTGTGTGGATAGCTGCTCCAGCATGGCCTTCTCCATGAGCTGCTGGGGAATCTCTGCTCCAGCACCACCTCTTCCCCTCCTTCTCTGACATTGATGGTCACAGGGCTGTTTCTCACACTTTTTTCCTCACTCCTTACTGCCTGGCCAGCATTGTTTTGCCCTTTGCCTTAAACGCGAGTTCACAGATGTGCCACCAGCTTGGCTGCTAGCTCTGCCCCGTGGCAGGGCCGCTGTATAGGCTTCTCAGACAGCACCTCACCAGAGGCACCCTGTAGGGTCCCTGTAAGGGAAATACCCTCAAACTCACACTCTATTTAGCTTTAAAGAAGTTCAGGCCTCCACATTTTCAAAGACTATAAATATAGATATTGACTGACTGTCATCAGTAATATTGTAGGGGCATAAGATTACTCTAGTAAATCCAAATACACACAACGCTGGAGTTTTTCCAGCCCAGAGTCCATGGTGAGAAGCAGACACTGAGAGACCATCTACCTCTTCCAAAAGAGAGGAAGAGAGAAACCTTAGATGTTTTTATTCAGGTAATATTTTAATTATCTGTTTTTCTCTTAAATTTTCTGGAGACTCAGAGCTATGGCCAAGTGACAAGGGTAGTTTCTCATGTATGAGGTCAGTGAGCCCTGTCTTTGTTTTGCCTTCCTGTGGTCCAGACTCTCACAGCTACAGGGGTTTTCCTGAGTCCTCATCCTGTGCTCAGCCTATTGCTGAGTCACTTTAGTTAACTGCTCACCTGGAAACTATTGGGAAAAAGAGGTCTATGGCATTTAATATATATCCAACACAATTTTTACAACATACAGACTGGCTTGTTTAAATATAGCAGTTGTTCAGGTTTGTGTTATAAGCATACTAACTCTGAACAAACCACTTTTCCTCTGCACTAAAATTGTCCAGGTAATGGTGAATAATTTTGAAGGTTGATGTTAAGTATTATTGAATGCAGTCAGAGAACTGCAAATCTCTTGAAGCTGTTATTAACCATGCAAAACCACTTCCTCTGTGACAGTTTGTTGAGCATAAAAATTGAATTCAAA